CATCTACCAATGTTCGTCAGTGCTTACATCTATGAAAACAAAAAGGAGGGAAAGAACTGATGCTGAACCCTGCCTCATTCAGGCATAAGTCATACTCATCTATGGAGACCTAACCGAACTCATTAGGGAAAGTGAGAGCATTTACAATAAAACTACCTTTGTGTGGTAACTGCTTTTCAAAATAAATTGTATATTAATCAATGCGATCTTAATTCAACGTAAAGAAAAAATTATACTACGGTAATGTTTGTAATCAAATTTGTTACAGGGAAGCAGAAAAGGTGATCACGAAAATATTTTCAAGTTTGAAAAGACAGGGAGGGGCAAAAGTAGGTTTACAGTTTTTTAAATGAAAAAATAATTACTAAATAATATAAGAATAAACTGTTTCGCATACTCACAACTGTAAGCCTCTTTTTGCCTCAGCCTGCATATTATACTGAATTAAGTTCTGTGGTAGATATAGAATTAAAACACAAGTTAAAAAGAATAAGGGATAATGTGAATCTTCTCACTGCTGAAGAGTTTATTTTATGTGATTCTTAAATGAATGATGGTGAATATGAAATCACTAGAGTACTTAGACTCTATCCAGGTATAACAATGATGTGACCGTTATATTTAATATGTCAATATGTACAACATGCTGGAAATTTTATATTCAGAAACTATCTGAACCAATGATTTTGTTTTATTAATTTCTCTTGTTGTTATTATTAACCCTCACTTGAGGATATTTTTCCATTGATTTTTAGATAGAGTGGAAGGGAGGGAGATAAACATCGATGTGAGAGACACATTGATTGGCTGCCTCCCACATGACCCTGACCAGACCGGGATCAAACTTGCAACCTAGGCACGTGCCCTTGACCAGGAATCGAACCCGAGACCCTTCAGTCCAAGGGCCGACACTCTAACCACTGAACAAAACAGCCAGGGCTGAACCAGTGATTTTAAAATGTTAGATATAAACATTAAAGTACAACATCATACATAATTTATCAAATATATTTCAGGCAGAAAACGAGCAGAAAGTTTTTTTTTTATCCTCACCCGAGGACATTTTTCCATTTTTTGTTCAGGTAGAGTGGGAGGGAGAGAGAGGAACAGAGAGAGAGAGAGAAACATCGATGTGAAAGGAACACATCGAGTGGCTGCCACCCGCACAACCGACCAGGGCCGGGGACAAACTGCAACCAAGGTACGCGCCCTTAGCGGGAACCGAACCCGGGTCTCTCCGGACCGCAGGCCGACGCTCTAACCGCTGAACCAAACCGGCCAGGGCGAGCAGAAAGTTTTAAGAATCAGTTAGCTGTGTCGATAATGGAACTCTGTATATGAAATGACGGTCAGTAGGAAAAGCAAACCTCAAAACAGTACCCATTAGAAAGGATAAGGATGCCAAACAGTGACAGTGTCTGAGCAGTGGTTTGCAAGGGCAGGGGAGATGGTCAATTCCATGGACTTTGAAGAGGTAATCTTAAAAATCTTTTGGGACACTTAAGCACATTCAACTTCTAACCAAAAAAGCTTCCGTCTTTCTTTAAAGAAACAAAAGAAATATAGTCTAGAGGCTTCTTTTACTGAGTGAAACAGTAGCAATAGAAATGTCAAATGTCCAATCCTCAGGCAAAGGATTTACACTGTTGTTTGTAAAGCAAAAATATGATCAGGAAAAAATGCCTCCAACTTCTACCCTCCTTAATGCAGCTATAAACAGCTACCTTATCTTATATTAGACATAAATTCTTAAAACAACCCACCATATAAACATGGAGCGAGAAGCAAAGATCTGCCCGCATCCACAGTAGCTAACTGTGGCATCAGTACTACCTTAAGCCTTACTACCATATTGAAAGAGCAGGAAAAAACAGATATGTGAAAAGCATCCCTCAACAGTCCCCCACACATCCCCTTTTCAAATCCCAAAGTCCCTCCAGAGGCAGTTGAGGGTAGTCCTTGAAAGAACAGGTCCTGGAGCCAAAATGTCTGAGTTGAATCCAGGCTTTGCAATTTTCTGGCTGAGTGATCAATCATAACTCCTCCTAAGTGTAGGCTGTCTCACTGTGCCTCAGTTTTCTCATCTCCTATCAAGTGCTCAATAATTATGAGTTACTATCATTAACTACAGGGAGGAAGGGGGAGGGTGGGCAAAGAAAGCCATTAGGCCTTGGCTTTCTCTTCGCTAATAGCTCATCAAAAAGATGACTATCATACTAACAAACCCTAGCATTTTGGATTTATTTTTAAGTTACTGATTGCATCAAGTACATCATGCTTCCAGCAGGTACTCAATGAAGATAATTAACTTTATGATAAGCTTACCCACACTCTGCAGACTTGGTGTTCAGACCATCTGCAGGAGGACTGGTTTAAGAGCAAGAGACTCACAGATGCTATGTACTCAACTAAGTTACCTTGGAGTATTATGTATCTAAAAGTTGTTTTATCTAGTTTTATTTTGTCTTGTTTTCCATTTATAAGCCACTATACATCATGGTCTAAAGTAGAAAGCAAAGGCTATAAACAGTATTAAATTCCAGAGTTAGGCAACTGGTCCTAACACAGCTAAAATTCTATTATGAATTTTTTTTTTCTTTCTGGTCATTTCGATTAATCTCCATTTGGGGCACAAATGCACCATGGGATAGGAGAATAAAGAGGCAATCAATTTTGTCCCATTTACCAATAATACTATTCTTAACAAGCCTAAACATAAGCAGTACTTCAGAATCTGAAAGTGGAAGGGATTTGAGAGGTCACCCACCCAAACCAAAAGGAGGAAATAATCTTTCCCACATCTCTTCATCCAGCTTTGCCTACAAATGCAGTGGTGGTGGTAACAGTGGTGGTGGCTGCAGCTGTTTCTACGTGCCCGGCTCTGTGCCACGCACTCATCTGCACTGATACATTGAATCAAACTGAAGTGAGAAAATCCTAAAAGAAAATATAAGATGGAATTTTAAAAACCATTCCGAAAAAGATAAAAGCCTAAAATTTTGATGGAATGGGTTACAACATTAGCACAAATAAAAAGAATTATTGTTCGTCCTCTAAATGATAGACCATCATTTTACTCAATTTAGTTCAACAGAGGTAAATAAAACAGAAGCACCTTCATTCACTCACTTCAACAAGTTAAAGACTCTTGTTATTAAAGTCTTTTGTGCCAGACACTTTAGTACGTCCCAAAGTACCATTACTATTATTAGTAGTAGAACGTGATCCCTGCAGCAAAGCAGTGTCTACTTTGTTCTCAGTAAATCGGTGACTGATTCACAAAAATGTAAGAGAGAGAACTTAGTGGAGTTAAGGGCAGCTTGGTGTAAATTCCACCTCTGCCACTAGCTGAGACAGCTTAGGCAAGTCACTTAACCTGTAAAACTGAAGATGTTACATATATTTGTACATATAAAATAAAGTTGTTTAAATAACTTTAAGTTGTTTAAATAACGTTAAGCTGTTTTATCTTGCCCTGGCCAGTTTGGCTCAGCGGTTAGAGCGTCGGCCTGCGGTCCGGAGAGACCCGGGTTCGGTTCCCGCTAAGGGCACGTACTTCGGTTGCAGTTTGTCCCCGGCCCTGGTTGGTCGTGCGGGTGGCAGCCACTCGATGTGTCCCTTCACGTTGATGTTTCTCTCTCTCTCTCCTTCCTCTCTCTCCCTCCCACTCTATCTGTACAAAAAATGGAAAAATATCCTCGGGTGAGGATAAAAAATAAATAAAAATAAAAATAATAAAATAAAATATAAAATAAAATAAAATAAAAAATAAATGAAAAAATATCCTCCAGTGAGGATTAATAAAACAAAAGTTGTTATAAAGTTTTATATATAAATAATGTTGTTATAAAGGTAAAATGTGATATATAGTGCACGCTAGATTGGTCTGAGTGTCCTTCATTTCCTGATAAGCTGACCCTAAGAATTTCTGCATATCTCACTCAAATTTAACCTGTTACCTACTTTGATCCTAACAAGGTTAAGTATGTTACCCTTTAAATTTTTTTTCCCAATTCTGTACGTCTATATACAACTACTATCTTCAAGAACGTCTTACCTACTGAGCCCTTAAGATATTGCAAATATTTGTTACAGAAAATGTTGCCTCAATCCAAAAAAAATGTTTAGCCTGTGCACAGAATAATTCAAATCATAAAGAATTTTTTACTGTAAATGTTAAAATAACAGCAGAACAGCTCATAAAAAGACAATAATCTAATTCCTTTAGCTGGGTTATCACTGGGATATCATTCCCTGCTGCCATCTCTAAGAAATTTCCTTATAAATATGTAACAATGACCGATTCATCATATTGCTCCTGAAATTCAGATCTGATTACTGAAACATTTACCGATGGAAAATTCAAAACGACGAAGGCCAATGATCTGATTCCTACACATATACAATTAAAGAAAACTGTACTATTTAGAGAGAGAGAGAGAGAGAGAGAACTATGCATCTGATCCCATCCCCAAGTACTATGAGCCCAGTCCATCGGGGGCATTCTTTCATTCAATAAACATTTATTATGCGCCTACACGTGCCAGGCATTGCACAGTGAACACAACAAAGATCCCCCCAAAAGAGAGTCCCTTCTCTCCCAATACAGGAATGTCTCCCCGTGATGTAAGGCTGCCCAAGTCCTAACTACTGAAGAGCAAGCCCTGGCCTCACCCCCACCCCACCGGGACCCCACCCGAACCCAGCGGCCCCAGGCTTGCAGCCCGGACACAGCCTCGGCCCCTGGGTTCTTCACCGCCACAGTCCTGGACCCTCGGACTTGACAGTCGGGCTCCACCCGGCCAGGAGGGGCGAGGGGCGCACCCCGGGCCGCGACACGTGCACAGCCGGCGCGCGCCCCCGCCCCCGCCCCTTCGCCCGTCCTGCGCAGGCGCCGTCGTGCGGCTCGCCCGCGCCCCGTACTCGTACGCCGCTGGCGGCCGGGACCCTACTAGCCCCGGCTCCGCGCGGTCCCGGCACCACCAACCATCGCCTCTTACCGGCGCTGTGGCTCCGGCGTCCCGGCCTCCCGGCTCCCGGCGGCCGCCCCGCTGGGCGCCTCCTCCTCGGCCTCCGCGGCCCCCACGAAAGCCCCGACCGCGGCCCCGGCGTCCGCCTCCGTCCCCGCCGCCTCTCGCCACCGCCGCTGCGGCTCCCGCCCTCTCGCGGTCACGGTCGCGATCCCCGCCGGGCCGGTCATGGCTGGGCCGGCGTCCGCGGCCGCCCCGAGCTCCGCGGTCCGCCTGCATCTGGCCGCTGCCGGCGGTGCTGAGCGAGCAGGAGCCGGCGCGGAGACGCCCTGGCCCCACCGGAAACGGGTCGCTCGGCGGGGCCGCGAGCGCGGGCCTCAGGTGGCTGCAGCGCGGCCTGCGGGCCGGGTGGAGGCCGGGGGCGGGGCGGCCGGGCCGCAGGTGGGGCCGGAACCGGCTGGGGAGGGCTGCGGGCCCAGATGAGGGCCCGACCGGTGCGGACCGGCTGGGCGGGGGTGGTCGGGGAAAGGACAGGCGTTAGAACGGCTTGTATAGTATAAACTCGTTTTCGTTAGGAAGGGAGGAAAGTGAAAGAAAGAAATATGGGTATATTTGCGTAAAAAAGTGTATGCCAAAATGTTAGGTGGTTAACTGGGGGGTGAGACTTAGATCGAGTTAATTTTTCGAATGTGATTACTAAGGATAAATATAATTTTTTAAATGGTGCTGAACTCGGGGTTCAAGAGGAGGCATCGCGGAAAGGCGGGGTGCGGGTGGACTGCAGCAAGCCGCTGGGAGGAGCGAGACCCGTTCAACACTGGTAGATGAATAGACCGGGCTTCGAAGCCCTCGAGAGAATTTTCGTAGAAGTGACTAGTGTAGTTCACTCTTACTGAGCACATACATGAGCACTCAGTTCTCTAACAGCCCTGTTACCCTGTTCGGCAGATGAGGAAACAACCCTAGAGGAGTGAAGGCATCTCATCAGAGGGTAGTGATGGAGCTAGCATTCCAACTCACTGCAGCCTATTCGTGTCTCACCCCCTAGAAAGCTTTTGAGACTCATCCATGTTTTATTATTTCAGGTTTTGTTTATTTTTATGCCTAAATAGTAGTCCATGTTATGGATCAGTCTATATTTTTAATCAAGGGGAAGAAGAGCAATTAGTTATATAGACACGTTGGAACCATTTTTAACTTTGTATTACAGAAACCACATCAAAAATAAAAACAAAACCCAAGGGTTTAAACATCCATCATCCAATCAGCTTTGCAAAACAAGTGTTTTCTGCCTTCTATCTTTTCTGGCCTTTAACATTTGTGTGTGTGTGTGTGTGTGTGTGTGTGTGTGTTTACACACTTCATTGCTTCAGTTCTCTGTCAGGCACAGTGTTAGGTCCTGAAGATTCAAAACAAAAACAAAAAATTATCTCTGCTCACTTCCCACAAGATACTCCTGTAAACACATGATTGCAGTAGTGTGCTGAGTACAGCGAGAGGTTCAAGGTGAAGGTCCAGGGGAAGAAAATTTAAACTTAAGTGAGTAGTTGCCCAAAGCTTCATGAGAAAGAGACCCTTAAAGCCAGGGCCTGAGGGTTGAGCAGGAGTTTGTCTGGTTAATATGTGGAAATAGGGGAGCTTTCCAAGCAGAGAGAACCTCTGAGAAAGGTGTGTAAACTGGAGAGAAATTCAGTCTTAAACGTAGTAATACAGCACTTACTATGCACCAAAGGCCATTCTAAGTTCTTCCCACAAAGCACTTCATTTAAACCTCACAGGAGGCCGATATAAGGTTGCACTAGTGTCCCTACTTTACAGATGAAGGCTCTAAGACAAATATTGACTTTAAAAAAATCACACAACTGGTAATGGGATGATTGGAACCCAGGGCAGTCTGGCTTCAGTCTTGCTCTTATTCTGTGGAAGACAATTAGAATTATAGGCAGAGCTGTTTGGAAACCACTGGAATAATCTAGGCCACAAATTGTTGGGGCCTGAATTAAGTTGAGAGCCAAGGAGGCCGATAAAATGACAGAGAATGACAGAATTAGCAGGACTTCATGTCCAGTTGTAAGTGCAGGGGGTTGAGAAGTTAGGGTTGATGCCCAGGTTTCTTATTTGGCCGACCAGGTAGTTGATGCCATTAGTCAAAGAGGGAATGCAGAGTTAGAGGAGACAATGATGTCAGGATACTAGTATTTTTTAACATTGTATTCTGTATTTTAATGTGTTGCTTTTTTGTCTTAATAACATTTTGGTCAGTAGACATTTATTTTTCACACATTTCTTCCATGTTTCTTATCCTTTCCCTCTCTACTCTTCTCTGGCCTTTCATTTTTATTCCTCCAGGCCCTACTTTCCTCCCCACATAGTCTTTTTTCTTCATTGTCTCTACTTGTAAAATTAAGACTCACTGTGGCATTCATGATTAAATTATTCATCCCATGCTAATAATTCCACTGCTAGAGAAACACTAAACAACAGAAAGATGGGAGGAGTAGAGAAGATTGTATCCTTTTCTCTGCACACTATAAAGGAGCTAACAGAAGATACAGACAGATATGAATAGTATTTTTAAGAATGCAGTGGACAACCTGGCCCCCCAGTCCTGTGAGGCCAGGAATGATAATGGTTTGGTACATCGTTTCATCCTAATTCTATAGTCAGTGACAAAGTTAATAACTTGAAATGGGCCATGGTGGAAACTGTTACACCATAGAAATTGGCAAACTTCTGCCAAGCAGGGCTTTGTTGGGAATGGGGGGCAGGAACAGGTTGTTAAATTTCAAGCACCCCTTTGATTTGGGCTTTCATCAAGATGAACATCCACATATTCACCTCATGCCAGACATTTGCACAAATCAAGAGTTTCTCATCTTTGGTACACTTAGGGCTGGATAATTTTGGGAGGTGGTAGCTTGTCTTGTGCATTAATGTTTAAGAGGATCCCAGCCTCTACCAGGCAGTAGTCCCCCCTTATCCACAGCGAGTATGTTACAAACCCCCAGTGAAAGCCTGAAACTGGAGAGTACTGAACCCTATATATACTGGGGTTGTTTCTGTACATACATACCTATGATAAAGTTTTAATTTATAAATTAGACAACAATAATAATAAAGCAATTATGATAATATACGGTAATAAAAGTTATTTGAATGTGTCTCTCAAAATACCTTATTGTACTATACTCACCTTTTCTCGTAAAGGAAGCACTTTCCGGCTTACTTGGCATATCCGAATTGCCAGCATCACTATTGTGCTTTGGGGCCATCATTAAGTAAAACTAGGGTTACTCAAATACAAGCACTGCACTACCACAATAGCCAGTCTGATAACTCGGCTCCTAAGTGACAAGGGGCTGGTAGCATATACAGCAAAGACACCTGAACAAGGACGATTCGTGTCCTGGGTGGGAAGGAGCCGGATGATGAGTGATTTATCATGCTACTTAGAATGGCATGAAATTTAAAACTTATGAATTGTTTATTCCCGGAGTTTCCCATTTAGTATTTTCGGACTGCAGTTGACAGTGGTTAACTGAAAGCAGAACTGCAGATAAAAGGGACTTCTGTAGTTGCTACCCACCAGCAACCCTGCCTCCTCTAGTTGTGACGAAGGTGTCTTCAGACATTGCCAAAAGTCCTGAGCAGCAAAATCACCCTGGATAAGAACCACTAGCACAGATGGATTTAATATGTAGCTGTTCTTTCTTTTTTTTTTTTTTTTTTTTTTGATATTTTGTTCAGATAGAGTGGGAGGGAGAGAGAGAGAGAGAAACATCGATGTGAAAGGGACACATCGAATGGTTGCCACCCACACAACCCAACCAGGGCCGGGGACAAACTGCAACCGAGGTACATGCCCCTAGCGGAAACCGAACCCAGGTCTCTCGGGACCGCAGGCCGATGCTCTAACCGCTTAACCAAACCGGCCAGGGCTAATATGTAGCTGTTCTTAAAGAAGCCTCCAAAATTGTGAGGTTACAAAGATCAGTGGGTTTCAGATTAAGCCAACTTTATTAAGACACATTCACTCTGCTTGATACTTTTCACTTAGTCAATTTAAGACTCATCAGTTTGAAAGGTATTATATGCTTGTTTTACAGGTGGCCTTCTTTGTGGATAGTGAGAGCTAACATTTAACATTTAACATTTAACATTTACTTTGTGCCTGGTGCTATTCTAAGCACTTTATTCATACTAACTCATTTAATCTTCATAATATTCATGAGGTAAATTTTGTGTGTGTATATATATATTCATATACATATATATATGTGTATACATATATACACACACACACATATTGTTGTTAATCCTTACTTGAGGATGTTTTTCCATTGATTTTTAGATAGAGTGGAAGGGAGAGAGAGAGAAAAAAACATCGATGTGAGAGAGACACAGTGATTGGTTTCCTCCTGCATGACCCTGACCAGGGCCAGGATTAAACCTGCAGCCCTTTGGTCTGAGGGCCAATACTCTTAACTCCTGAGCCAAACTGGCCAGGGCAATTATTACTATACCTATTTTACAGATAAGAAAACTGAGTCACAATGGAGTTAAATAATTAGCTCAAGCTAATAAGTAATATAACTGGGATTCACACCCAGACACTCTGGTTTCAGAATCTGCGTCCTTAAGTTTATGCTGTAGATGCCATCAGAAGTTCAGGAACTATGTTATTTCCCCTCCCCCATTCTATTAATTCAAGGTTTCTTTCCATTCAACCAGTAATGTTTATGGTATGGAGGATCTGTGGTCCCCTGCTAACACTTCCTAATTGGAGGACAACACTAGTGGAAGTTCTCTTAACCAGATGTTAAGTATGCTCCCTCATTTGATTCTGATCTACGTGGAAAAGATGTCTGTCATCAGGGATGAAAACGCCATACAGGTACCTCCTGCATTGGAGAAACCAGAGACTTTTTGATTTGGTAAATGACAAAGAAAAGGAAGATTATCTGCTTTTGCTGTTACTCCATAGTCCTGATTTTAAACATATGCCATTGCACGAATAAAAAATTCGATTTTCCCTTAGGTAGTATTTATGAGATAACAAAACAAAGTCCTGAATTACATAGGTAGCTCCTTAATAAACTAAACTATGCTTTTTGCATTTTTAAAATATATATGACCTAATTTTTGTTTAAAAGAAGCCAATTATTTAAGGCAATATTTCTCAAAATATGACCCAGCAACATGATAGCATCTGGGAACTGATAGAAATGCAGAAGCTCAGGCCTCACCCAGACAGAAACTCTGGGGATGAGGCCCAGCAG